CCCTCCCTAATTCAGATGAAGGAATAAAACCAAAGCCTACCGATCGAGAATTGTATTTTTAATAAATAACAGCGGTTTCATTCCTTAATCTCTATTAGGAGAGAAGGAATGAATTTTCAAAGCGCGCAGTAAAAAAAAATTATATTCTTCAATTTTTTCTGAAATTCAGTATATTTCGGTTTAAAATTAATCCCAATCATCATTAATTTTAAATGATTTTTTCTAAAACTTAGAAAAAAGTTTCTAGATTTTAGAAACCTAAAGGTTAGAAACCACGGTTTCGAAAAATTTTGAAACTTCATTCTAAAGCTAATTCATTTTTTTTCTCTGTAGAGGCTTATCAGAAGGTTCTTTGCCAAGTCAAATATTTGTGATATATCAATTCTTTTTTATGATAGTAACTCAAAATTTTGGTTCATTTATCAATTTTGCTTCCGAATGGAAGCATTGTAATCGTGCTGTTTTCACATTCTCTAATTTTGATTGGAAATGATGTAGAATCGTCTGAACCGTAAAAATACGAAGTTTGGCGACCATGTCTGTCGGTGTCAATGTCCATCGCCACCTTTCCGGTGGTCAATTTTTGGAAAATTGAGTAATTAATTGGCTAAACTTATTCCAAAAAATCTGAAATTTTGTCAGATTATAGACCTTAACAAGGACTAACTCTGTGCAACAGTTCAGCCCGATTGATCAAATAGTTTTTGAGAAAAAGCTATTCGTTTTTAAATCGTCTTTCGTTAATATCTTCGAAGCTAGTCAACCGATTTCAATTTTTTTTCCAAAATATTCGTTTCGATGCCTTCTATCCGAATCAATCACAACATATGTACCCGTTCATACAGAATTTTCAAAATATTTCCGTTTTTCTGTTTTTTCATAAAAATCCTTGTAATCACTCTAGCTTGTACAAAAATTGAGATATCAACTTGAAATTTGGACAAAATCTTTCTCTCATGATAACAATCTTTCTTATTAAAAATGAGCTCAATCGCATCGGTAGTTTCCGAGATATTCGACTTTCTCTGAAAACGTTTCATGTGCAATAGCTTAAAAACTACGCAACCGATTTCAATATTTTTTTTCAAAATATTTGTTTCGATGCCTTCTATCCGAATGCCTTCTATCCCATTCGGAAGCTTACTACCAATGGAATTGGTAGAAATGCAAGAAAGAACAAGAGTTATAACACATAATGTAATGGTCAGATGGCTTCGGCCAAAAAGGCTCGAACCCCTGCTTGTTTTTCTATGAATTGTAACATGATAAAAATCATGTACTGTTCCTCGCCTGAACTGACCGCGGATCATGGGGGGAAAATTAGTATTTTTACCTCAGCGAGGAGTCGGATCACCCAGAGCCACAATTGTCATTTTGTTTTTTTATTTCTATTATTTACTTTCTTTTCATCATTCTCTCGAACTCTGTCGATCGCGCTCACCGTGGGTTACGTGAGCTTCGTGATGAGGGGAGTGGAGCGGAGCATCGGGAATGACTACAAGTCGGCACTACAGCAGATGACGAGTAGCACACCGACTAGCACGCACACACCGAGTCGGGGAGACTCACACCACGAAGGACGCAAGAGACGATCGACGCATGCCAGCAGACATCTCAGGCTTCTACGTGTGAACCCCCACCGCCTCACCGATGGATCGGGGGCGCAAGGCCGCCCAGTAAAAAACTCATGCTGCAACATTGAGGGGGCATCGGATTATGTTGGCTTCTGCGCTGTTCAATGCGGATCACATCCACCGACCATGCAGCGCAGGTCTCAGTTCTCTGGGACTCAGGAACTGGGAATTATGACAATTTTAAAATTCCCAATTCAAAATGATATAATAACGCGGATTCTCCGCGCTTCATCGCGTGATCGGGGTGGGGGTAGAAAAGATTTTGAGGTTCCTCGGGGCGATGTACGGCCCCGACGGACACTCTTCGCTGGGGTTCAGCCATATTCAGTCGCTCTGCGCAATTAAAGTTTTATTATGCTCTTTGAGCTTCTTTAAATTGTTAAAACAATTATTACTTTGGTGTGCCTGGATTTTCCAGCCTTTTCCTGACGTCGCCGTACTGAGGGTCCAGACGAGTTTACCCTGGAGTTTCTCGCGTATCAAACGGTGAGCGTGATTTAATTTTTGAGTGCTCGCGTAGTTTTTCGATTCATTTCTCCGGTGGCCATTTTGGACACCGTTTGAGTGTTAAAATTCGAGCCTTTTGCCTTCGGGACGCGGCACTCTGTGGCCTGTGGCCTCATTCCTTTATTTCCATTAGTAAATATTAATTATTTCATTCATATTGTTGCCGTTTATCGGTTTTGATTTTGGAACTTTGTTCAATTTCTTCATTCGTGTGGCTCTCGCGTCGCCATAGCTTGCGGGTGATCCTCGCATCTTAGCGTCTCCCACGCATCTCAAAAATTATTATTATTCCTTTTAGTTAGTTAGTATCACTAAGTTAATTACATTTTTTTTTTGGTTTGTCTAGCGTCTTTGCTCGCGGGAGTCCTCTCCCGCACGTGTACAAAATCCTACGTTGACTCTCGTATGGACGAGTAAAAGAACAGACTTAACTCAAGGATTAAAAATTTTTTTTTTTGTTGTAAAAGTTTGCATATTGTTGAGTTACGCTCATTGTAGCCTGTTCCCACACGCCTCCGCGGTTATCTGAGCTAGTCGTGGAACGCGGCTCAACGGTGTGACCTTGTCCTTTGGCGGTTAAAAGGACTGGCGCTCTTTTTGGCATTTTGTCTGCTCTCGTTATTCCCGTCGTTCTAATTCCGGGTTGAGAGAGTCCAAAAGGGTCGCTGAAAGTTCGTGGAGAACCACGCGTCTGAATCCCGTAGACGCGCTTGCAAAAATACCTCACAGAATTTATTCTCGATTTTCCTTCTTAAACAATCAGGTGGACTGGGAATAGCTGCTTCCAACTACAGCAATTACCTTCTCGACAAAAGATGAAGGCATCGATGTTTTATTGAAACAGATGGACGATGATGAAGACAAAGACCCCAATTATGATATTAAATTGGCGTCCACAAAACCCAAAAGGCGGAAGATCATGACTGCGGGTATTACGGCCGTTTTGGACAGAGCTAAAGTTAGCGATCGGATGGCCGCACGCGTGATAGCCGCCACCTTAATTGCAGCTGATATGACTTTGGAAAATGTACATTTGAGTCGAGAAACTATCCATCGAAATCGGCGAAAACATCGAGAGTCTCTCAGCAATATGATTCGAGATAATTCGAAAATGAGATCAGCTCATATACTCTCTGTGCACTGGGATGATAAACAGCAATCAGCGCCAGAGAATAAATTCAAAAAAATTGATCGGCTTCCAATTTTAGTATCTGGCCATGAGTGGTACCAATTACTTGGTGTACCTAGACTCGAGAAAGGAACTAGAGAAGGACAAGCCGAAACAAAATATAAATGCTTGAATGAGTGGGACATGCTCGATGATACAAGTGCTATGGTTTTTGATACAACTGCGAGTAATACAGGCCCTGTCAATGGTGCATGTATCTTACTCGAAAGATTACTTGACAAAGATGTATTAAATTTAGCGTGCCGTCATCATATTCATGAGCTACTCTTGAAAACAGCTTGGGAATCGGTCATGGGATGTACTTCTGGCCCTGATGTCCCAATTTTTGAAAGATTCCAAGGTCAGTGGGAAAATATGAATAGAGCAGAATTTTCCCCCGGAATTCAGGATATCAAAGTAAAGGAAGCTTTGCATCAGGATATAGCAGAAGTGCTGGCTTTTGCTGAGTCGCAATTGAAGGTTAGTTACGAGAGATTTTCTGATTTGAAAAAAATGTATTCCCTTATATTTCAAATATGCATCATATTTCGTGTTTTTATAGTACGATTAATTGGTTTAACTGTCGTTTTTCTCGATACTTCATAGGATGGAACCATACGTATGGACTAAATGGAGTTTTTGGAACTGGTGGTGATATTTCTACGTGGAAATTTGGTGAGAGTCAATCGGTTTCGAGCTTTGGGTCCCATTCATCATGTTAGGTGGATGGCTGAAGCGATTTATTGCCTCAAGATTTTTTTATTCAGAGACCAGTTCCATTTGACATTCCAGGAGAAATCCGGTTTGATAGATACATGCATTTTCATTGTCCTTTCATATCAAATAGCTCGGTTCACGGCTTCAAATGCAGTTATAGCTCCAAACAACGATTTGAATTTGTTAAAACAACTAACAGCAAATGCTAGTGGTCTTAATCCTGTCTCGTCGAAGGTCTGGAAAGCTGTACTGGATAAGTTCGTGACTCACCTTTGGTATTTATCAGAAGAATTAACCGCTCTCGCTTTTTTCGATGAAAAAGTGAGTGCTAATTGTAAGAGAATTATGTGTGAAGCCATCAAATCGCGTCCTGCTCTCAACAAAAATAGGAAGAACAGAGCAGAAATAAAAGATCGGACATTAATTCCCAAATTGACCATAGATTCATTTGTGACTAAAAATTCCATTAGATTTTTTGAAATTTTGAAAATAAATAGCAGCTTCCTGGATAGTGATCCCATCACATGGAAAGACAGACGATTTTGCAACAGCTTTCAAAATTGTCAAGTCTCTCCATGTTACAAATGATCTCGCTGAAAGGAGTGTAGCTCTTGTGAGCGAGTTTAATGACTTGCTCACGTAAGATAATAGACAACAGTTAATGTCAGTTGTTAATAAATTCCGAGAAGTTTCGCCGAAATGTGACAGAAAACATTTGGAGCTTTCTTTAGAGAAATATGTAAATAATAAGTCGACGGAAAATTCAAATTGTATAGAATAAAAAAAAATTATATTATTGTTAACTATCATTATATTCATGATCTTGTTACTTTTACGTATGATGACCTTTATTTCCATGGGAATCACTTAGCCATCAATAAAATAGTACAGCCGCGAAATTTGTTATTGTAAAATTATTATATATAATCAAGAAGAAATCGTCTCCGGACATTACAATCAAGTTCAGAGCAAACTTTCGATGTGAAAATACTCATTCTACTCCAAATTGAGATATTTTTATCAATCAAGTTTTGTTAGAATTGTGGTTATATGGAGAATTGAAAAGTGCAGATTTCTCATTAAATTTATGGAAAAGTAAGAAATTCATTTATTATAAAAAAGGGCATGTTTTGATTTATTGGATGTTGTAAAGAACTCTCGTACGAGCAAAGGTCTGTCCAGCTGGGTAACCCTCTCCATTTCAGTTCATTGCTCCCATTAGGAGCACCGGATAATCTGACCACCTGACACTTGCCAGAATTTTCAACATTTTCTTTTGCATTTTTCTCCATGACACCTGACACTTTCCAGAATTTTCAACATTTTCTTTTGCATTTTTCTCCATTTAGTAGTGAAGAACTATACTTCTCTCTTTCTGAGATCATAATAGAATAGTTGTATAATCTCGTGTCAAGATCTGGAAAGAATCGGACAATTTGAAAGATTACCGCAGGTCTCTGAAAATCTCCATTTTCGGTAGAAATCAAACTTTTTTTTAATAACAATGAACGAGTTAAAAAATGTAAAAAAATATTACCATTATTTTTTGGATCTCTGCGAAAGATTGAATAGTGAAATGATGATTAAATGTTGATATTTTCCTCACAAAATATTGGATCAAAAATGCAGAATCGTTTTTACGTACATTTTATCATAAGAAATCTTTAAAGCGACGTGCTGTCATAAGAAACATTGTAAAAAATCGAAAAAAATTACACCGTTTGTTCATTTTATGTACTAACATATTAGGGTAGCCGTGAAACTGAAATTGGAATTTTCTTCTCGTGAGTCTACCTAATAGACAACGATTATTAAGGGACATCAATGCCCACGAGACCTAAAAAACTGAAGATCGTGAATCCAGATATCATTGCCGTGTTGGATAGGGCCAAACAGTAATCGCATGGCCGCACGGGTGTTAGCAGCAACCTTAATGACAGTGGGCATAACTCTGGAAGAGGTCCATTTAAGCTCCGAAACTCTTCATCGGAATCGACAGAAACAACGCGAGGTGTTGGATCACAAAATCGAGGATAATTTTAAAAATAGACTGTCTCATATCCTAACAGTGCACTGGGATGGCAAACAACTATCGGCACCTGAAAACAAATTTGAAAAAGTTGATCGCCTCCCAGTCCTTGTGTCAGGCTATGGATGGAATCAATTGCTTGGTGTTCCCAGACTCGAAAGAGGAACTGGGGAGTTGCAAGCAAAAGCCGTTCACCATTGCCTGAAGGAATGGGACGTCGTTGATAACGTATGCGCCATGGTATTTGATATCACTGCCAGTAATACAGGCAGCGTAAATGGTGCCTGTATCCTGCTTGAGGAATTACTTGAGAGGGATCTTCTGTACTTAGCATGTCGTCATCATGTCTATGAACTCGTCTTGAAAACAGCATTCGAGTCATCAATGGGAGGTACATCTGGGCCAGACGTTTTGACTTTCAAACGATTTCAAGTGTACTGGGGCAAGATTAGAAAAGGAGAATTTTCGCCCGAAGTGAACGACATTGCAGTAAAAGAAGCACTGCATGATAATATGGCAGATGACCTCGCTTTTGCTGAAGAACAATTGGAGGTTAGTTACAGCAAATTAGTCCCATGAAAGTCACTGGCTCATAATTGATATCTTTATTATATTGAGATTTAGAAACATCAAGATTGAAGGTTTTAATTTTGTTCATCCACAGAAAAAGAATATCCGCAGCGACTACAGGGAGTTCTTGGATCGTAATTTTCCTGGGTGGAAATTTGATGAAAGGGAATCGTTTCCGAGCGCTTGGGCCGATTCATCATGCTAGGTGGATGTCTAAAGCGATTTATTCACTGAAAATATTCTTGTTTCGAGATCAATTTCGTCTAACATCCCAAGAAAGTTCAGGTTTAAGAGATGTTTGCATTTTTATTGTTCGCCTAAATCAGAGAGCTTGGTTCACGGCTTCAAGTGTAGTAAGCGCTCCTAACAGTGATTGGGATCTGGTGAAAGACTTATTGACAAATTCTGGTAGTGCTAATTGTATTTCCGCAAAAGTTTGTAAAGCGGTATCTGAGAAATTAGTGAACCATCTCTGGTATTTATCAGAAGAACTGATTGCTTTAGCTTTTTTTGATCCAAACGTGAGTGGTGAGTGTAAAAGGAACATGTGTCGCGATCAAATCGCGTGCTCCTCTCGATGATGGTAGGAAAAAGAGAAAAATAGGAATCAAAGATCGGAAATTAATTCAAGAGTTGAGTTTGGACTCGTTTGTTACTACAAATACAATGAAATTTTTTGAGATTCTAAAAATTAATCATAGTTTTTTGGATACTGATCAGACAACTTGGGAGGCGAGAGGAGATTTCACCATCGCCTTGGAAAGTAAGACATTTGCATGTGACGAACGACGTTGCTGAAAGGAGTGTGGCTCTCATCAGCGAGTATAATGACTTACTCACAAAAGATGAGAGCAGCAAACACCAAGTAATGTCAATTGTTGAAAAATTGCGCGAAGTATCACCCGATTGTACAAAAGATAGTCTCAAATTTTCATTCAGAAAGTTACTTCAGTAACATGCCAACCGAATCTTCAATTAGTATACATTAAAGTATTATTGTCAGTGTACCATCATAGAGAAATACTCTCTCGAAAGTGTAATCAAACTTTTCAACTAAATATCAAATGTCATACTTAGTTCTAATTCTTGTCTGAACTCACTAAACTAATTGCCACCTGGAAATTTTTCCCTTCAATTTTTTTCCGTTTGTTTCATATTAATGAGCTATAATTTATCACTATGCAATGTCCGTGATTCATCTATTAATGTTATTTTCAGTTGAACAATTGTTATCTTTTGTCAAAACTATGAAATTCACATTCACAGTGTAAAATTTGATTTTTATTTTTCAATACTTTTCCTTTAAAAATCCCAATAAAATAACCTCCAAATAGAGTGTGACCTTTCAATATTTAATTATTATTATTTCCTAAAAGGGGGATTTAAGGCAATTAAATAATGAGGACAAATGAGGGATAAAATTAACTGAATATCTATATTTCTATTAATTTACATAATAGANAGGGGGACAACTCGTACTCACGACTTCAAGTTCAGGGCTAATCTGAGTCCTTCGATGACTCCAGGGATTGAGCCTCCGTTCCTCCTTCTGGATCCCAAGGGCACAGTGACTACGGCCGGGATGAGCTCGGGCACCAAAAATCCTCTTTATTCCAACAAAAAAAACCAAATGTTTCGACTTTGTGGTACGTTCACTAATAATTCAATCAACTTGGGGCGCACGTGACAGTGTCCAGGACAGTGGTTACACGAGTGCCGGTCTCTTCATTTTCTCCGTAATTCGTGGGGGTTCGTCAGGTGCCGAAGTCCTTCGGGTTGGAATTCGGGAGCAATCGGGCCCAATCAGTACGGGTGAGTGGTGACGATGACAACAATCCAGGGATGTCTCGCTGGGATCGTCGAGGGCGGTGGGTTGCCGAGGCCCATGTATGGGTGGTTTGTGGGGGGAGCAACGGCTCCTGCAGATTATCCGGTAGGGCCGGAACTGTTGTCTTTCTTCGGCTGGTGTCTTCGTGATGTCCAGTGGCGGGAGTAGAGGGGTGATGAGGGGAAGATCGAGGGAAGGGGTATCCAACGGTGGCGGGATTTTAGTAATTAGGGGGCAGTGTGTAGTTGGGCAAAGTGTAATCAAAAACAAATAAAAATAAAGAATCGCCTCGTCACAGCTGTCCCGGGGGTAGGGAATGCATAGGGTTTCCACAACCCTATGCTGTACGACTCAAACCTTTCTCTTCCGATCGATAGCTCCAGGAGGAGAGGAGGCTGGAATGAAGGCTCAGGACTATTTATAACACAAGATCGTTTATTGCTTTTAGTACGAGGTATCCCCCTACAATCTCCCCCATTCACCAATACTTATTTTTGGTCTTGAATTGTCGGATTCTAAATATTTTTTATTGGCTCGACAGCTCAGGTACCACAACACTCTCATCCTTACTTCCAATTAATTGAAAAAAATAATAATATTATGACATAAAAAAAAACAAAATAACTCAAAAAATACTATTCAATGGCCCTTCTTCGGGTGACAGCAAAAATAAAAACTAAAGTAANCTTCCAACTAATTGAAAAAAATATATATTATGACCTCAAAAAAAAAAAACAAAATAACTCAAAAAATACTATTCAATTGCCCTTCTCCGGGTGACAGCAAAAATAAAAACTAAAGTAATGGTCTTTGAAAGAATAAGGGAAAGATTTGTCGGACTATGGGGGGGTGTCAGAGGGGTTGAGACTAGGGGTCAAGGCTGTGGATCAGGTCTAGGGAAGATGGCGGCAGCTAGGGCAGGATAGGACGTCAACCTTCCACTTTCCGCAGAAAAAGTAACGTCGGGTCTTGATGGGGCAATCTCTAGCTTGGTGGACACCGTTACATTTCCTGCACCCGGTGTGCAACAAGGGGGAATAGTGGGGGATTGGGCTGGTTTGAGGGTAACCGGGGGGTCTACGGACGCTCTTAGGGAATATGGGGACGTGGATGGACATGAGGGGAGGTATTTTGG